CACTATCCCACAACCCTCTCACTTTGCTGATGGACCTGATTTGGATAAAATCTCCCAAATGTGAATGGTGGAGGAGGAGGAGGTCAATTTGATCTCAAATGAGATAGTCCTGACAGAATTAGGTAGGAGGATTTCTTTTCCTTTCCCACAAGCAGATAAGCAGACCAGCAGAACCAGCAAGTGCCAGATTTAAATAATAATTTAATAAAAGCTTATTTGAATAGAGTGACACAGCTCTCCCCCATCTGATGATTTGGCCCTTCAATTCTCATTGGTAAGAAATAAGTACATTTTATTGACAGAATAAAAAAAAAAAACCAACAACATTTCAAGACAGTTCATCAGTTGTGTAACACCACTTGGATTAAAATGGGAAAACTTTAAATGAAAACCACAAAATTTTAATTTGTCATCAGAAATTAAGAGCAACATGTTTCCTCCTTTCCTCCTATGTGTCTGACCCTTTTGTTGTTGTTAGTTTTTCTCTACACTGGAGATTATGGAAACAAAACTGAGTCAGTGGACTCTGGTTGCACTGTGATGTTTAGGGACAGTTTTGTGCTCTCCTCATAGCAAGGGACAGGAAAGAACCTGACATTTACCTCTGCTGTTTGCCAAGAGCCAGCTGGTCTGACAACATATGTGTATTAGCAGGAACACTGGCAAAGCCAAGCTTTGTTCAGCGTGTGCTCATTTCTTGCAGTGAGGGGGTCAAAAACCTGGCACAATAAAAGCTGGAGATACTTTAAGATTTTGAGGAGAATGTATAGAAAATATAGGACAGAAATCCACAGAAAGGTGTTTTAATGCTATTCATAGAGGAGCTTATTCTGTGCATAACTGAATATGGAGGTCCATTAAAATGAGCTTTCCCAGAAAAGCTGCAATACCATGACTGTTTTAGTCTTTCATGCCTAAGTAATTTTGAGTTGATTCTTTTCAGAAAAGTCTATGGATGAAAGGTTTTTCTTCCCTCTCCTTAAACTTGTGGTGCAAAAAATGATGTCTCTCATTGTCATTAGTATAGTTTTGTCAGGAAAAGGGTGTTTGAGCTAACAGGACCAAGATGAATTTGGCAAGAGAAGAGGTAATAAATAATTTGGGTGCCTTAAGTTGATTGTAAGAGAGAGTTCCTAACAGCGGACTATTTTTATAGACTAACTTAAAGGAGTGGAAATTAGGAACCTGATTTTATTGCATTTGCTGGAACCTTCTTGTTCACTGAGCAGGAGGAGAGGGTAAGCAGTGCCCAGACCTCCTGTTTGGCGTGAGAAGCCAAGAGCTTGGAAACCATTAATTGCCTGGAACTGTAGTCTGCTGGTCTGCAGTCCACTTTTCCCTTTAGCACTGGAAGATGGCATCTCTAATTTCCATTTTCCTGGCACTGGAATGGTTCTAGGATGAAATGTAAAGGCACAGAAGGCTCGGAGGGCACATCTGAGCCAGCATGCAGGAGGTCTGTGTGACAGCCAGAGCCAGCACCTCCTCTGCTGTCCTGCAGTCCCACATCTAAGCACACATCATTTTCCAAGTCTCTATCATTATGGTCATTTACTTCAGCAATTTAGACTGACTCATTAAAACGCTTCCCCCTTGTCTTCCCAGATGAGGCACATTTAATGGGTGCATTACATAACCTCACACCTACCAGGACTGCTCTGAACTTACATGAAGGGCAGTTCAGTTCTCTTCCACCACCTTTATCTAAGCAGCCAAGTCCCATTTGGAAGATGCCAAATCTTCTTTCAATTACTATTCTGGTCACTTTTTGAATTTCATTACAATTTCTAATGATATGGTTTTCAGAGGGAATCTGGAGATAAAACACGGAAGAGATTAGGCAATTTTTCAAGAGATAACCACTGTCACCTTATAGGGGAAAAAAAAAAGATTTAAAGTAAATGTTCTCAATGTATTAGAATGCCTCGGAATACCTGAATGTTTTCCTACTAAAAAAGCACTCCTGAAACAGTGCTGGAAATAACATCACAAAAAAAGTCCAAGAAGGGAGATCTGAGATGCATAACAGGGTATTATTTAATCTTATTTGCTCAGTGTCTTACTTTTACAGTTTCAACCTGTATCTGATGTCCATGCAGCTGTAACTCCTCAAATTACCTTGTAATTTACAACTTTGTAATTCCCTGCAACTAATGACAGGCACAAAAATTAAGGTCTTGACTGAACAAGTGGAGGATCCTGTGGCAACTTTTGCTCACTCCTTCCCTTTTCACCCCTGCTAATCCCATTAGTTATGTCACATTAAGAGAATGTTGTTCCTTTAATTCTTACACCACCCTGTGTTGTGGGCAGTGACCTCGAGCCTCCCTCCTATAACCTCCTCTTGCTGTTTTAATGGGAAACAGGGAGTTTTTATCAGAAGGCAAAACAAGGAGCCAGTACAGAGCATCATCATCATCATCATCATCATCATCATCATCATCACTGCACTTTCACAACACTGAAGACAAGTTTTCAAGATAATTTGCCATGAATATATATTAGGCCACATCCTATGGCTGTTGCTCTGGGTTTAGGCAGACCAAGGTCAAAAGATATCACAAAATACAGGATTTGGACCCTTTTGCTGTGTTAGCTCCTTCTGTACCATTGGGATTTTCCTTTTAAGAGGGACCCATGTTGGAAATGCAGACTACGTAAGCCTTGACCCACTTTTGGGGAAGAGATGTTATTATACATTACCTTAAAAGGCTCTTAAGATATTTTTGGCCACTCAATACATAATGAAAATATGTATTCAATACTTTAAAGCAGCATATTTCTTAATAGTCTAAATGGGTCAAGGCACCACACCCACACTGACTTTAGATAATGCTCGTTCTTTCAGTTGTTTGCATGTCTTTTTCTTAAACCATTAGTAAGATTTTTAAAGCATTTACAGCATAAAAAAAATCACAGGTTTGAATAGTCTAACAGCTTGTTACTGTTGGCTAAGTTATTATCAGTAACACAGAGTTGAGCACCTCCTGGAATGGCCTGTATTGGCCACTCACCTTCAGAAAATCAGACACTGAATGGTAAATTTTGCTTTTTTTTTGTTGATTCTTTTTATATCTTCTGGAACATCTTTGTTTTGTCATTTGCTCTTATGATTTCTATGACTCTACTCCCTCAAATGTGATCACACCTAGTGTAGCAGTTACAGATATTCTTAGCATTTGTGTCTTTTTTACTGGTACATTTACACCTGTTGAACCTTGAAACAAATTGAGCTACACAAGCTGATTCCCAGTTTTACACCTGTTTTCCATGCCTAGAACCCAGCTGATTGTCTGATGGCTCAGTGACAGCAGAAGAGTCTGGACACAGAATCCAAACACACGTTGACATTTAGAGAAAAAAAAACAACATAATAAAAAGCACCTTTTAGACGTTGTTTTTCCACTCCCAGCACAAAGCAGTGTAATAACAGACACACCTAAATGTGTGCTCCAGCAAGTGTCCTCGAGCCAAATATCCCTTAAGAGAGTCAGAGCCCTCCCATAAAACCCTTGTTTTCTCATCAGCTTCATATAAATAAGCAATTTCCCAGGAGCACTTTCCATTTTACTCCCTATTACTCCAAACTCTCCCAAAGCCATATGCATTTATAGCCTGCTAACAGGGAAAAAAAAACATTGCAGCATTAAAATAAAAGTATAAAATAAGTGTATCTTGGTCCTTCAAGTCAATTGCAAAAGTTGTATTAATGTCAGTGTGTGGGAGGAAAGAGTGAAGTTAGCTAGAGCTTGAAAGTATAAAAAAATCAACAAACCAGGAGTTTTTCTAAAAATTCATGATTAGAATCACTTTTCATAGGGCTCTGTAATATCTCATCACAGTTCTATTGACTTTTCTCTTCCATTCCCAACTGCTTTATGTCTCTGAGACAGCTCCATGGCTTGGGGTAGAAAAGACCAAGAGAAAAATCTGTGTTCTATTTCTTTGAGCATAAAGCCTTTCACCATGTGCTGAAAAAATGTAGGTACCACTAGCTCCTGCAGTTCTTCATCTCCTTGATCTTAAATCAGCTCTTTTCCAGATATTCTTTTGCAGAATATTCCACCCTCTGTTGCTTTCAATTCACTCTGGCCTCTGCTTGTTTCTTGCTTTTGGGATATTCCCTTTTCCTTCTTTCTCAGCGACTTCACAGCACCAGAAAATAAACTGCCACTAATGAAATGATTTCTAGTTTCCTGACAAAATTCAAGTATTTATTTCTGCCATGTTCCAGTTCTTGAATCACTTTTTGAGAGACCACAGCACAAAGCAACACAGATGTCAGCCCCTCTGAGGAGATACCTTAGGTTGATAAACTGTGATTAAACCCATGCTTAACTGGTGTACAGGACACATCTGGGTTAATTTAAGGGAGGAATATATATGAATTTTAATTTAGGAAATAGCTTTAACTGTAATTCAGCAACTTTATTGCCTCACATAAATAAATTCTATCTTTGGCAACTCCTTCTCCAACTTTAAATATCTTTTCTTCTGAGGTAAAAAAATCACAAATCTGAAAATACCCAATTCTTTCCATACCTCTGGAGGAAAAGACTCAGCTGCCAACTTGGTAAATATCCCCCACAAAAATACACTTTTTTTACTTAAAGTGGTCCACCTGCAGAAAATGAAATAAGTTCCTTTTGTGGGGTTTCATCAATGTCTGCATGATAAATCTGTGCTATTTTTATGTCTTTGCCTTTGAGATTTCACCTGATTCTTATTTATAAAGGACCAGATGCAATTCCCTGCATCCACTTAGATTTCACTTAGCATTTTACTACTGAAACAAACCCCAAAACCAAAAACATTTTCTGGCAATGGCTTGTACTTACTGACTTCCAGTTCAGAAACCACTAGAAAAGGTTTCACCAATGTTAAAAGTCTTTTATTTTTCAATCATTGTTATACAGAGTAGCAAATGCAGTCAATTAAACTAAGAATACTGTATCTAATGACATTACTTATTTATAAGACTAAAGCTATGTCCTTGTGGGTTTATGGTTATGCAGATCTAAGTTACAGCATTTGAAATTAGCCTTCATCTTGACTTTGGCAAATAAGATATTATTTTTAAAAAGCCTTGAAATTTTTTGTTTGGACAGAAATGGCTTCATTTTGACATATTTCTAATACAAAACAAAGCTAAAAGATTTGTAGGAACTGTCATAGCAACACGTTTTGCTTTAAACTGCCAAAATTCTGTTATAGAAATCACTCAGGTTTTATAAAATATTTTATATAGTTTGCATGAAGAAGTTGTGAAGCAGAATGGATCCTATTTCCTGTCAGAGAAATTCCCCAATTAGGACAGTGGTAGATGTTTTCCCCCACAACACAGTGGGGGAAATTCCTGTGAATTACAACAACAGTGTTGTAATTCCTGTGACCACTCTAGTTTTCTGTGTCCCTTCAATATTTCTGAGCAGGTTCACCAATTTAATGAAAAAGCATTTTCTGTTTCCTTTCCTTTTTTATTTTTGGGTATTTTTTACTTTTGTTTTTTTTTTTTTGGAGGGGCAGTTAATTCAGTTGTTATTTGAATAGGAAGAATGATTTGAAAATGTCAATATTCCAATATTCCTGCAGTGCCATTCCCATTTGAGGTGTGCTGTATGTAAGACCTGTGAGCCTTTGAGTAACACCTGACCTGACTGACCAAGAGGTGCAACCACTTTCAGAAGTAATAAATCTGCATTATTCAACTGAAACATTCACAGCATCTCTGATACTGAAATCAAAGTTTTTATCTAAATGTGGCACCCTTGTTTTACAAGCAGCATTCTTCTCACACTTCTCTCACAATCAGCAGGTCCACATGAGATTTTGGAATATCTTTTTCCTTCTGTGTGAAATTACATCTATCTCCAGGCTCCAGTGGATGAGCCTGCTGCTGGATAACTGCATAACCCTGGGATCATTCACACACACAAACACAAAAAGGAATTATTTAATGAGGACAGTGAAAAGGAGTGTGAAACACTCCAAGCTTATTGCTCATGATCCATTAATATGTTCAGAATGAAAAATACCTGAATTTTATGTCGCTGTATAATTCTGTAGATGAGAAAAGATTTCTTAGTTGAAGTACATGACCTTTAGGAGAAAAAAAGGGTTTGACCTTTCTAAAAAAGTTAATTAACAAGAAAGACTCTGTAAATTAGGTCAAAACATCCATTAAGATTCAAGAAAATTCCAGCTTACAACACATTGGTCACCATGTAGCTCTTGTCATCAGATGTTTGTATTTTAGCTTTTTCTTTATTATTCCTCTTCTTTTCCTTACAGAACCTGCTCCATTAGAAAAATTAGCTTTCTATCATTTTCATGACTCATCAAGGCCTGAAGGAAAAAGCCAGAATCATCCACAGTCTTCTCATTTGTGACACAGACTATTAACAACTTCATTAACTTTCTTCAGGCCATGTTTTTGTTCAAAGTCTTGTGTGCATTTTTACAGGAGTTACTGGAAAGATGCATTGTCTTGGGCTTCTGTCAAGAGAAAAAAAAAAAGGAATTAGGAAGTTTGCATCCTTTAAGACGTGGGAAATAATTCCTGTAAATATTTTTGTAACTAAAACAAATCTTGATCACTGCTTTGTGCTCAAAAGATAGAAAATACATTTGATTTCATTTCTTCTCATTAGGAAACATCATATCACAACCATCTGCTTTAACCCTTGATTAAGTACAGAGAATCATTAATGTAGAGCAAACCAAGAAGAGCATGTACAGCATAAACAAGAAGAAAAATTTCTCAACCCAAGTTTCTTGTTCTATATCTGCTTACCTCTGGACTACCAACATGCAATATTATATCAGATTATATCAGATAGAAATAATCCCTGTCAAGTTCTGTCCTCTATAAATCTCATAAAGGCAACAGGAGTTTGTATAATGAGGCCTGAGAAAGGGTCAAAATTTAGCCCAAAGCTCATGACCCTGAAGAATGGTACTGGGATACTGAGGAACCCAGCAATTTTCACTGTGATGAGCAAGTACTGGACAGCTTTCCATCCCACCCATGTGCAGAAAGCACAGCAGGATGTAATAATGGAAAAAGCAGAAGGTTTGAGGGCAGTGACTTCCCTGAAGTGAAGCAAATCCATTGGCTGTTTTCTTCAAAAGTAGAATACTTCCAGAACTGGAAGTGCAGCCATGGCAGCACAGAAACCCTTGTGCCCTCAGACTGACAATTCTGCAGTCAATCTTACTTTGTGACAGTTATTAAGATCTGGATATTAATCCTTCTCCCTATGCTTTTCTTTGGCTGGGAAAAGAAAAGGATTCTAGGGACAGAGAAGTTCCAGAAGATAACTTTTAACTAGTTCTGCAAGGGCAAAAATACGTCCTGCAGTTCTTAATCTGTGCACCTTCTGCCTCATTCCTCTGCCACCTCCTCTGGTGTCTTCCTCTCCTTGCTCTCCCTCCTGGACAAGACTCCCTGAACACAAATTCTCTGCACAGATGGACCACGCTGAATTACAGCTTGCATCATCATTGTTTACCTCTGACAAGTTTCCTTAATTGAGATCCCCAGCAAGAAAAAAAAACTATTCTGGCGTTGCGTGGGCTTCCCAGTCACGGACAGATTTCCTGTTGCTTTGATGCAGTGTGCAAACATAAGAAAATAGAACTTGTTTTCTGGGGAGCTAACAACATCAGCAGCACAAGGCATGAAATGTTTACAAACAACAGATGGGAGACAAACAGCTCGAAGGTGGAAGGTGGCGGTCAACATGGGAAGCAGCACTCTCCGCCTAAGAGCTGCTTGTCTGAACAAGGGGTTTGTAGGAAAGAAGAGCTCTGAGGAGAGATAGAAAATGATTTTTTTTTCTGATATATGTACAATTAAGAAGGTTTTGAGGCAGAGAAACTGAGGCAGCTTTAAAGAAGTCAAGTCAGTTATTCAGGAAGAGCAGAGAAGATACATTTTCCTGAGTCTCAGTCTTTGAGACAGAAACACATTTGTTTTATAAATGTGAGAAAAAGAAGTTATGGCATTTGAACTTTATATACCAAAATTTACATCACATTCTCTGATGAATATATGCAAAACTTCTAAAACCTTCTTTCTCTATCCCCCTTCAAAATACAGAGACCCAATGAATCTACTGCAAAGTGCCCTTCTTGCAATTAAAGGCTGAGAGATGATTTCCACAAACACACAACCTCCTGCTCTGACAATTGGTGGCATCAACTGAAGTTCAAAGGAAAATTTTAACAGAATTTAAAACATCTTCCTATGGTTTTGAGAAGAAACTATTTAAGGAAAGGGCTTTTCAAGAGCCTGCCATGGTGGGCATTGATCCAAATCCAACACCAGCAAAGAGCAGGTGAATTTTTTGTGTTTCTTTCAAATTTTTAAATTAATCTTTCTGAAAGCAATGAAGGTATCTGCCCCATCCTCTCTGGCATTAAAAGGTGGACAGACAGACAGACCCCCTGTGTTTTATTTCCAAACAAACTGCATCTGCTGCTTGCCTGCAAGTTGTTTCAGGGGACTGAGGCAGGGTGGATGCTCTGCCTGGCAGGTTCTTCTGAGCCTGGCACAACCCACCTTACAAGTGACTCTCCATATAATATCCAATTTAAATGTCCTGCAGAATGGGAAGGCTTCACTGTGCTGCTCATGGAATACCCAGCACAGAAGTGTCTTACTGCACAGGAGAGGCAGGAAATATTTTTGACACATTTACTTGGGCAATCCAGTGCTCAAGTAAATGTGTCAAAAATGACACACCCAAACCAAAATACAGATACCCAAATGTGTTCAGGGATAGGGAGTGATGTTAGGCAATCCCTGGATATTTATGTGCACTCAATCAGGTCCAAAAGGAAATGTCTTATTATACAAGGCACTGAAAGATCTTTTGAGAGCTGCTGACAACCTCCCTTCAGCACAGGTAGCCATCTACATTAAGGCAACAAGTTGGCTTGTCTTTAAGGATCACTGGGCCCAGAAGAAGCTTAAATATTCCAAGTTCCACCAGCAGTTTTCAAAGTCTGTTTGAATTACCTGTGAGATAGATGCTCCTCAATTTCTCTCACTTAGATATTAGTTCAATGATTCTTTTCCTTGAAAACCCACACTAGGTCTTAGTTCCCTGTTCGCCAAAATTCACTTTTTCACAAACAAAGCACAAATGCTGTACAAATAGGAACAGGCATTCAGGATTAGGTGGTGAAAAAAGCCCTTTTAGACACACAGGTATTGAGATAATAACAGAAGATGTAAGAACTCAAAGAAGTTCATGTTCTTGAAGCAAACAATCAAAATGGTTTTCAGCAATAACCTCTCTTGGTAGAAGTAAGTTCTACAACAGAAGAGATGAGTAAAAGGTGTGGAGAGTTTCTTTGTGTGTACACAGACACAATGCTGAGACTTTATGCTGGGGAAAGGGGGGTAATTCCTGCTGTGGTATTCTCACAAGAGTGAGATGTAGAGATAAAAACACAGTTTGTAATACTTCAGGAAGAAGAATAAACTACTGTGAGACTGAAAACGTGTCAAATATTAAGTCTAACTGAAGAAGCTGGTATTGTACACTACTTAGATGCAAGGAAAATACAAGAAAAGAGGAAAAAAGAGATAAATTATGTGACAGATATTATAGCAAAAGCTAAATGTCCAGTTAAGCCAAGTGTGAGGGAAAAAAATAGATAAATTGATTGCTACATTAAAAAGAAAAAAAAATAAAAAAAGGGAAAAAGCTAGAATTAGTATGAAGAAATAATATTGTGATTATATTTATAAACATTTGCTGGATTTTAATGGTGCACAGAAGAAAATTATTTATACTACACTACATTGTGTCAAGGTCCCTCCTTTCTAATGTTGTTATTAAAATAAACAAAATTCAAAAGATGATTGAGAAAGACAAGTTCAGATCTTTCTGGGCATCAACAAACTATAGATTAACATCTGAAAACCAGGACTGCTCTGTGCTGAAATTTGCTGTGTGATACCCTTGGAACCAGGAATCTGCCTGTAAAGCCACAATTCCCAGTGCAGAGTTCCTTGAGCAGAGAAACTTAAGCCCTCCTCGATTTTCTTTCCTTGTTATCCCAGGGACCACAGAGCTTTGAGCTCTTCCAAGAAGAACGCACTCAGAGAACCTAAATGCTCATCCTGCCACATAAATCCTGTGAACTGTCCCCAGAGCTCACAAGACGACATGAATTCTCCCATGCAACTTTCTTCTGGCTGATCACTCTGTCCTTACAGATCCACATCCTGCATTGGTGTCTTCCAACAAGGATCCCACTCCTTCCCTGATGGCCTTTTCCACAGCTAAGGACTACTCCACCTGTACGAGGTGACATTCAGAGGGTTCATCTTCCACAAAACCCTCTTAATAGCTGGGTTCTAGATAGTGACAGACAGTTCCACAGTTGACACAGAACAAAAATCCAACAAAAAGCATCTCTGTGTATTTCCCTTAAGCAGAAGAGTCCTTTGCTAATCCAAATGCCCAGAATTTCCAATGGCTGGGTGATGTTTCCTCTCTCTCTGTAGCTGGATGTTGGCAGTGGGAGATCTCATGGAGTCAGGAGCATTTGTTTGGAGCTGCCAGTTGGCCTCTCTTGGCTGCTGTGTGCTACATTCACTCACTGAACAGCTTAGCAGCTTATCACAGTTTTTAGTAAACAGTGGTAAAAAATTCAGGTTTTTTTCCTTTTCTTTGAGGCAGTGATAAAAATAAGGGTGATTTCAAAAATCAGTTAATAACTGAAAGAAAGAAATGACAGAGCCTCTTTCAGGACCATGGAAAAAGAAAGTTCATACAGCTCTTCCAGATCTTCAGGTTGCTTCATGGCATTCTGAGAGATCTCTTATTAACATTCCAGCAATCCATGTTTTCTGTCTCAGATAAAAGTAATCTGGACTAGGTAAGTAATCTCATTTATTTCTGAAATTGACACACTTAAGACAAAAACATACAAAACCAGCTGAATGAGTCCTTAGGTTCAAATTTACAAGAGATTTACTTGAAGCTTTGCTACTGGTGAAGGGGAGAAATACTATTTTTCATAATCATGCTTATTTATTATTTGTGGTCTTACACATACACTATAGCTCATGCTCATTTCAGTCAGATGCCTGGAGGAACATTTAGCTGACATTCAATTAGCAAAGTAATGCATGGTGATAAAGCAGTAGGTAATTTACCATGTTCTGTTTGGGAACATTCCTTGTTGCCATTAATATTCACAACACACCAGCCAGCTCCAAAGGACGGCACTGCCCCTACCTAGAAGAACCAGGAATTCAAAACACTCAAATTACAAAAATGTAGGCAAGAAACAGAAGGTCTGTAGATAAGAGTTTCCTAACATCACATGGCTCCATTTAACAGGATGGGAAGGACAATAACAGTACCTAGAAAAGGAATTTGGTGCCACCTGGGAGCCCATTAAAGACACAACCTAAATCCCCAGCTTGCCTTGCACCAAGAATTTGCCTCTCATCATAAAGGGGAGGCCAGACTAGCATGGTCTCTGTTCACTTGACCCTGTGAGGTTATAACAATTTGAAGTATTTCTGTAACTGTGACTACGTCCACCTATATGGCTGCACCAAGTATGTGCCACGAAGCATCTGGTCCCATTTAAATTCATATTTAAATGAGTTCTTGACTGAGATTGGCTCTTTTTCCCCCAGCTTCAATCCCTGATAGAAGGTTCCTATGCAGCTCTGCTCCTCACTTATTCACTATAAGCATGAATACAGATCCTGAATATGTTTTTTTATGGGAAGAGAGAATAAAAGACTGGAAACTGCTGCCTCTGCTTGAGGCCTAAGAGGCACCTGTACCACTAACATCGCTCCCATACAGGCTGAGGCAGGGAAATTGTTTTGGCAAGATCCCTGCAAGCCTAAAACTGTCAAGCAAAGGTAAAAGAGTGGGAGGACTCCTTCCCCCTCCCCTCCTTGCTGCCTGTGAGTTTATGTAGGAGCCAGGGAAGCAGATGGATGCCACAAGAGGTGCAAAGGATGCCTGGAACAACAGCACGTCAGTGGGATTTGCACTGCATGGGAACGGCAAAATCCCTTTGCAACACCCACGCTCCACAGGGATCCTCCACCCCTGGGGTTTACGGGACTTTGGGCTCAGTGGTTTTGGAGCAGGATGGTGGCAGCACGTTCCATCCAAAAGAGACAGCAGAAAGTGCTGCCAGTGTAGTGAAAAGAAAAAAAAAAAATAAAGTTGGTAAGATGAGCAATACAGTTAAAATAAGAGGGAAATTAAAGTGCAAGGCTTTGCAGAGAGGACCAAATCAGCAAATCACAGAATCAATTGGGTTGGAAAAGACCTCTGAGATTATCGAGTCCAACCTGCGACCCAACGCCGCCGAGTGCCACGTCCAGTCTTTCCTTAAACACCTCCAGGGATGGTGACTCCACCACCTCTCTGGACAGCCCGACACAACGTCTAATCACCCTTTCTGTTCAGAGATCCTTCCTAATGTCCAACCTGAACGTCCCTTGTGCAGTTTAATGCTGTGACCTGTCATCCTGTCGCTGACTCCCTGGCAGCGGAGCCCGACCCCCACCTGGCTACACCCTCCGGTCAGCTGGGGCTGCCCAACACCCAAGGAAGAAAAACACGGAGTTACTGTAGTTGAAGAGAACAGGAGAACTGAGGCTCTGGCAATCACTCCTGACGGTACATCCAGAAGCCACCGAGCTTCCCCCTGCGAGGCGCCTGAGGCGGCGCACGGGCCCCTCCCCGGAGCGCAGCCGGGGGACGCCGCAGCTCCTGTTCCAGCCCCGCTGCCACAGCTCCCCTGGCCCTGGACAGCCCCCGGCACTGCCTTCAGAGAGACACGGAATGGTTTGGGCTGGAAGAG